ATATTACCTCAACATTATTAATATGATTTTTTATTTTTGGTTTTGTTTAATAATTCCAAAACACTAAAGATTTTTCCTCTATATTCACAAATGGCCAAGATAACGGGTCAATGAAATCTACTGTAACTTTGAAATAAAGTAATAGATGGCAGTTTCGAGTCCCTGTGATCTTTATTATGTCAAATAAAAAAAAGAAGAGAAATAGACCAGACAGTCTCTAAGAAAAGTAATATGAAGACAATGATGTATAAAATCTTTTATCAGCTGCCATTTTGAAACGAAATGGTGGATGGTGATATTGAATTCCGAGGTTCTTATGAATCTGAAGTGACTATTAAATCTAAAAAGAAATAAATAAATAAAAAATCGAATAGTATTAGAGAATAGCCATGAACCGTTTTTTATTTTTTTTTTATTTGAATTTTAAATCCTAAATATCTTTAAAAAAAACATTCAAATTTTATTAAAACATATTTTTTTAATGGTTGATTACTTAGGTTAATTATTGAAAATAATAAACTAAAAATCAATGCAATACTAACAAAAGATACAACAAATAAAAATGTTATTGGGAGAGAATCATGACCCCTTATTTGTATTGCTTCACTGACGAAGCTAAGCTCTACTCAAGCGTGTTTCATTTTCGCTTAACACTCTTACAAGAAGTCTCTTTCATTCTTTAAACTGCTGTAATTAGCTATACCACAAATGAGAACTTTTGACTAATTTTCACAAAAATTAGAGTGGTTTCCTAACTAACTTCCGAATTACTCTGATCATACTAAGTCCCTGACATATTCCCAAATTTCTCAACTAGTAAATACCCAGTATAATCAATGAGAAATATTTCTATAACAGACTATAAAACTGAGTTTCTACTCTTAGATCATTTCATCCATATCCCAACTTATAAAGACTTGTCGACACCTTTAACTTTAATCAAGAAACCATACAAACGAGTTTTAATAAATCCAAGGTCAAATTGTTCAAATATGTTGGAAATTTGGATTACCTTAAAGTGTGAATGGTAGAGGGTTATATGTACGAAATCCTTCCATCTATCCTTTCTTCTACTTTTTTTTCCGTTTAGATTACTAGTGTAATCGGACAACTTAAGTTCAGATTATTGAGATTTTACTGTATTTAACTAAAATATCTCAACCACGTCTTTGATTAAGAAACATAACCAAGTAAATGGGAATCCTTTACGATCACCAATACCAGTAATTATCAAAAGGAATGGATTTATGTTTATAATGATGAAATCATTTACAAAAATTTAAGTGTTACAATTTTTAACAAAATTATTTAAGAAACTGGTCATCTTAAACCTTTATCAATAGGCATTCTTCATCAATACAAATGAAATAACTAGTAAAAAAAAAAATTTCAGTCGAGGATATTTCTATATATGAAATTAAATTAATTAGATAAAGGTAATGTGTGAGGATTAATTATGAGGAGGATCCATGTGTGAGGGTTAAATAACTGACTTGGGCTTTGATAGAGGGCAATAGAATAATGTGCATATAGTTGTGTATATTATGTAAACTTTTTGTAGCCCATAATAATTCTGAATCATAATAGCAAATTGGCACTCACGTTCCCAAGATTGTAAAATTTCCTTATTTTTTCATAAATTTACCCAATTTTTTTAAGTTAAAAAATATTCCTGGCTTCTCCGGGTTTGAAAAATCCCCTGAATTCTAAATATTTACCAAACATTTCTTTTTGAAGATTTTAACCCCCAGATGTACATACATAAATATAAAAAATACAATTACTTAGAAAACGTATTTAATTGAATTAAAGTATTTTTCTTTATGTAAAAATAGCTTTTGAAATAAAATAAATTAATTTCAAACTAATGATGTAGAGCTATTTATCACCAAAGGTGGTCATCGAAATTTTAAGTTCCAACAAGCTGGTTGTCCTGTAACATGAAGCAATAGTTTTCTTTCAGAGGACCGGACATTCCCTAGCTTATGTTGAAATTCCACATTGATAAACAGAATTCTCTTTAGTGATCAATGTATTACTCAATATTTGTAGACTTAGAATTTAATTTGTTAGAATTTTAATAGAGAATAATTACTTTTATCAAAGTAATAAATTTTATAAATTACTTTTTTAATGAACTGGTGGCAACAGTTGGTCACTGATCTTAAAAATGGATTTATTTCTTTTTTTCATGCCTTCTTCTTTGTTTTTTAGCAGGATTACATACTATTCTATATTTGATAAATTTTAAATTCCAAGAATAAAAAGAATGAATAAGTGCTGATGTACTTTTATAGAATTATGTATCAATTTGATAGGTTGTAACAGCAAATAAAGTGTATAGTAGATGAATGTTTTCTACTTATTTGCATATTTTTTTTTTTTTTTTTTTTTTTTTAGTAGAATAAAAACAATGTTATAGTAACATTTTTAAAATATTACAAAAACATAAATAGCAGATGTTTTTCCTCAATGGTCTATCTTCACAAATCACTTCCAAATTTCGAGGAAAAAAAAAATTAATAGTTAGTGCTTCAAATATTAAATTTCTTATAAAAGGACCAGCTAGTACACCTAAAGTTTACTTAACCTGTTAGCAACCATACAACTGCTAATGCCGCTATGTAATCTTGCTCCACATTGAAATCACCCAGAAGTCACCAATCCATCAGTTCTTAACACATATTCGTCCGGTAATTTTTTGCACTGTCATTAAAATATTGGCGGCATCTCTTCATCTCCGTTTAGTAAAAATTATAATTCAATTTATTTAGAATTAAAACATTTGTTTATTGAATAATATTACATTCTGTCATATTCAAGAGCACTAGTAATAGTGATAGAGTAGCTCAATTAAGAATAAATTATTTTCTTTAATAGACAAATGAAGAATTTTCGTCATTTAAATGTTTGTGATTATTTGAGAAATGAAAAATTTTTGTCATGAGGACGAATATGTGTTAAGATTTGAACCTTGTGAAAATTAAATAACATCTTAATACGTAGAACATGTATCACACTGACATGTTGAAATGTCAGCTAAAATAGTAATCACTCCTTGTCAATATGTCATGTAGTGTAGTCACCTAGGCTTAAGAAGATATTTACTATAGATAAACAAAGAATCACCATGAAGGTAATCAATACTAAACCGATGGATAAACTTTTAAAGGGTAGACTGAGTAGTAAATGGGAGAATCATGTTATTACTAACCTTCTATATATGGGTTTTGAAGGATATCTGTGGAGAGCATTAAGAAAGTAGAAATTTATTCAAGTTAGCAAAATTAAGGAAAAAAATAAAATGGTTTATCCTATTCCTAACTAGAAATAAAATTAGTCCGTTGCTAATTACAAAATCATATTGTGAAATCTCCCTCTTTAACTAATAATTAATATGAACATAAAAAACGAAAATTAATTATATTAAAAAAACCTTGCTACGAATTACTTTCAGCTAATTAACTAACAAATTTTTTTTTTCAAACCTCTACTTCTACATTTATGAAAATAAGATTAAAAAACAACTTCACTTTCAGATAAAAAACTGAAAAATAGTTTATGGTGGGAAGTTAGTAGTTGTAACCTTGTAGTCACATAGAAAAACAAGAAATTTGTATTATTGTTTTTATTTCTCTACATGACTGCAGCAACCCTCATCCCACCTTACTTTTCAACCATGTTATCAGCCAACTATTTTTTTACCAGTAGATATATCATAAAATGTAATCTATTATCAACAAAAAAGTTAGCAATACTTTGTGACCTTTACATTTTTCTTAATAAGTTAAGCACTTTATCATCTTATTTTTTATTTTTAAGTAAAAGATTAACTCTTCAAACTTCTAACATTCTCTATTAATTTGTAGGAATTTAGCCATTTGGTTCATCCCAAATTCTTATCTACAAAATAATAGTATTTGGTTTATAAATATTATTTTATTTTACGAGGTTTAAAACTATCATTAAAATAATTATACATTTCAAATTGTATTAGAATGCATTATAAAATTTAAAAAGAGTAAAGTTACAAAACTAATAGAAAAATTAGTATTTTAAGTTTCATAATGTAACTATTATTAGCTGAAGTGTGTAATTCAAAGTTTAAAAAAATGTATTAATAGTTTAAATCCATGTAACATATGAATAAACCAAATATTTAACGATTAATTTGTAGGTTGGAACTTTAAAAAGTTCACTTTTTCCAAAGAAACAAAACAAGATAAAATTTAAAAAACACCATTTGAAGAATTAATTGCTCCTAATAGATCTAATCAGCCACTTTTTTCAATCCACTATATATATATATTTTTTTTTAAATGGGATATTTATTAAAACACAATCTGAATTTGTTTCAATGCCTAAGAAATACGACTAGGAAAAATAAGAAATAAATTAACAAAACATTTACAAAAAATCAAACATTCAGAGTTTATTGCGATTATTTTTTAAATAAAATAGAACTAGAGGAACTTAAATCTCAGTACAATAATATTCGGAAAGTAAAGCTCTTTAAAATAAAATTCTCACAAGCATAAAGTGCTCATGAGAAAGCTTAAACATTTTGTTTAAACATATTTGACTACTTGAAAAATAAAATTTTGATTATCATATTCAAGTAATAAGTAACAGTAGATAAAACCAACTTGTGTTATAAAACAATATTAATTTGAAATAAGAACGTATTAAAGGAAACTAGATCAAATAGAAAATAAAAAAATCATCTATGACAATGTTCATTCATAAAAATAGATAATGGTAATAAGGCCTACAAATCTAATAAGCTGTGCATTCCAGTTAAACAGAATGAGAAAATTCATACCAGGATAATGTTTTCTTTGAATCATTCATTTGCAATAGGCTTCACTATCTAAAGTGAAAGTTATCTAGTACATAATGTCATACTTCATGAATTAAAAAAAAAATAAATAAAAGAAAATCTACTGTGCAAAGAGCAAGGGCTAGCAATAGATGGGAGGGTGCGTTGTGAATGTTGATACCTCTTCATCTTCTTCATCATAGGCTGGAAAGGAGCTTGCTTTGTGTTGTCTTTTAGGGTCAAATGGATCAACAACTATCTGCTCAGTTCCTTTTATTTCTGCTCGGCAGAAGGGGCATCCTTGGCCCTCTGAATCCTGAAACCATACATTTTTAAATTGAATAACAAATATTTGAGTAAAGATTCATATCACAATTTATTCATGTTAACCATTACCAAGTTTTCAAATAGAATTAGTAATAAGATTTTCTAAATAATGAGACATATACTGGGTTGAAGAAAAAGTAATTTCGTTTTAGCTTAATAAGTGACTTTGAAAAGTATATTATTTATTTTAATCCTTATTCAATGAACCATTCTACAGTGATTTGAAAGGATACAGTCCATAGAAAATTCTGTATATAAAAATAGCATCATAAATTAACTTAGTCAACAGTAATGTGCTTTAAAATAGAAGTTCCAAAAGGTCGTTTTTGTCATATTTAGCTGTTTTATTTTCGAAAAATTCTGTGCAGGCTCATCGAACATTGCATGACGTTTATGGCAATGAGTGCCTAAGATTTCTGAACACGTGTCAGAATTAGTTTGCTCATTTTCGTTCTAGTGATTTTTATGTCAAAGATGAACCTCATTCTGGCCGGCCATTCGTTGAATAAGTCAATGAAATTCTTCGAAACATTGAGGTAACCCCACATACTTCATCTCTATGGCATACATACTATATGCTATGGAACTAAACATCAATCAGAAAACAGTTTTGAACCATCTACATAAGGCTGGATACCAAAATCTCGATACTTGGGTTCTGCATAAATTAACAGTGAAAAATTTAATGGCCCGAGTTTTCATTTGTGAATTGCTGCTGAAACGAAATGAAATGAAATGAGAGATTTTTGAAACAAATGATCATAGGTGATGAAAAGTGGATCATGTATGACAATAATGTGTGAAAAAGATCATGGTCAAAGCACGGAGAACCTTCATAGACAGTGGCAAAGCCCAGGTTAATGCCAAGAAAGATGATGCTGAGAGTTTAGTGGGATTGCAAAGGAACCGTTCATTATGAGCTGCTCAAATCTGGCCAAATCATTAATTCCAAACCCTACTGTGAACAGCTAGTGCGATTGGAGCAGGCGATTCAAGAAAAATGGCCAGAATCAATAGGAAATCTGTTGTCTTCCATCACAACAATGCTAGACCACACACATCTTTAATAGACTAGGAACTACCAACCATTTCATTTAATAGAAGAACTTATAACTAACTAGTAACCATTTTAAATTCTAAACCTCATCTGAACACACAACTTTGGTCAGTCGGTCGAAAGCTCTTCCTTTCTATTCAAAAATTTAAATTAAAGATGCGAAATTTGATGGTTTATTTAACAGAAGAACTGAAGGCTGAAATTTTCATATGATATCAAGAAAATGTCCCTAAATGAGAATTCACCTTGACTGACAATGTACTCTGTTTGTTTTGAAAACTGGCAAAAGTCATTAAATTAGACCAGTTAGTTAGTTGGATGAGGGAAAACAATGCAAATAGTTGGTTTTTAATGTTTTTTGGGATGTTGAATCTGAATTTGATGTTCCCGTATGAAATTTTCTATTATGCTCCGAGATATATGCAAAAAACAGTGAAATTTCCGAACATTTTTAAAAAAATATTTTTGACATGACACCGAAACTATGCATTTTATCAAAATTATTTACAAAGTTAAAGAAGATAAACTTTACTATAAATTTTATAAATAACATTTTGATGTAGGGCCAATGGGTGAGGAGTTAGACAATGTTGACTGTTTGCTTATTTCACAAGAAATATGTGTTTTCTTCGTTTTTTCCTAAAAATACTGATAATCTAAGCATCTCTCGAAGAAATTCGTTAAAATCAATTTGAAAGAGAATTAAATTTCTTATGTTAATATGAACATATGTGTTAATTAACATAGTTAATATGTGAGAAGATGAAGCCGCTGTTAAAGCTAATGGAATCAAAGGTGTATTTCACTCGTAGTATTATCTGCCGTTCTTAGCTTAAGCGCTTTTTATATTTTCAATGCTTTTGATTAGGCTAATTTAACTATATTTATAACAAAACTCAATGTATGAATAAATTACATAATTTTCATATATTCTGTTGGTATGAGACACATCAAAATTCATCCACTTGACAGATATCTTAATGTGGCCCGTGGACCAAAAAGTTTGGAGACTCCTGATATAAAGGATAAGCATAAATAAACTAATAAAATTATAAATAAATAAATATCAGTATGTTTGCATATTAATACTGATAAGTAACATACATAATATATATACAACTTAAATAATGGTACACCGAGTTTAATCAAAATCGTCAGAGCCGTTTTTGGGAAAATTTTAAAAATGTTGCTATAAAGTATCACTTCCGGTTAGCCGATTTTAAGGAAAAAGTTGCTGCCACATCTAAGGCATATACCTATCTTAAATACGTAATATCAGGTTCGTACGACTCTTAGTTTTTGAGCTAGACTGTTCACATACACACAGACCATTTTTCGGGACTTGGTTATTTGGACTCAGGAAACCTCAAAACGTGTATTTCCGTTGAAATACTCAGATTAAAAATTTTTCATGATTGCAATGCTTACTCTAACTATATATTACATAAATAGGTAAGTGAAAGTAAAAATCAGTTGAACACATTTTTATAATTTATTTCCAGTTATTTGGGAATTAATTAAATTTCTGACACTATCCGAATCTGACATTTGTCAAATTTAGAATATACTTTAGAAACAAACTAAAATATTTTAAAACCACTGCATTGCAATAATAAAATAGTAATGCAAAAATGAAATTGGGTGAAAAAAAATATTCTTACTTTAAGAACAATCAAGGCAAAATAAATGAAAAATAAGCAAAGAGCTCTACTCAACTTCCTTTCTGATTAAAACCATACCTGCCATGATGTAAGACAAGGTGTACACAGCAAATGCCCACACGGTTCTATCCTAACATCTTTATCATTTTCAGCACAAATTTTACACAGTTGAAAAGTAGAACCCATTTCACAATAAAGTTCATACTGCTCCTGTGTCACTTTTATATGATCCTCGGGGGTAGGCTGGACAGCCCAAGATAAGTCAGGATTCACATTTCGTCCATCAGGAAAGAGATAACTAAATAACAAAATTTCACAAATATTAAAAAACCATAATATAATGCATATAAAAAGAAGTCTTAACTTATAAATAAAAATAAATTAAATTTACTTAAAAGAATAAAATTGAATTGGACACTTGCATGGAAAAAATTAAATAAATTTGAATTGCGATAGAATTAAAGTGATAAAGAAAATATATAAGATAGAGATAAAATTCTTTAATTAATAAAAAAATATCCATAATTAGCAAACAATTTGAAATAACAGCGGGCCTGAGAGCAGTGATGGCGACTGGAGAAATAGGTGTCAAGCATAGGGTGATGCATACTACAGCCAAACCCAACTCTCTCAGCTCCCAGCATATCTCGATCTTTTCACTCAGGTTAGAATAAGTTTGGTTGTACCTCTAGAAAAAACTTCCCCCCTAAGCCAGAAATGGCAAAGTAAGGGGTAATTGAAGAAAACAAAAACTTTCCTTACCATTCCATCTAATTTTATTTATAAAAGCTAATATGAACAAAAAAACAAATTTTTTTTTGGGTGGAAGTTTGGAAGGTGAAAATATCAGTATAAGATATCCAACGAATGAATAAGGTTCACTAACAGCCGATGACATAGTAGTGCACCCCATCTTGAGAAGTAGCTCCGTCCACACTTTTCTTTAACACTCATTATCTTTGCAATTATGCATCAGACAAATTTTAAATCCAAAAAACAAAATACTGCCAAATACATATACAAAATTCATGCAAGTACCATATTATTTTATTAGGAGTAGATGAATAAAATCTTTCCCTATGAATTGCTAATTAATTGTCTTTTTTTCTTTTTTTTTAAATTCAAGGTCTTTCATCATCATCAGGATTTTAATAACCATTATTAAATGAGCCTTAAAGTTGACAGAATGACTCCAATTTCAACATTTTTAGTAATCATTTAAGTTATATTTATAATTGGAAAATTTATAATATCTGTTCAGACAGTGAATGAGTTGATTCCAAAGTAGGTGATTGTAGTTTGAAATATAGAACTAGAATAAAGGTATACATTTTTTCGCTAGATATATCACTAAAATTAATAATAAAAAATGTTGAAATTGGAATTAGTCATTCTGTCAACTGAAAGGCTCAAATATTATCCATACCTCATGGTCAGGCTTTTTATTTCCGTTTAAATAACTTTGTCATCATAATATTCATTGTTGAGAAAAAAAGGGGAATGAAAAGATAACTGAATTTTTTAAAGAGAAATAAATTTTCAATGGTTCATAAATGAAGAATATATATTATTTTTCTAACAAAAGTAAAAGTTTTCATAGATTTTTTTAAAACCATAAAATGTGTTGCGCCACTCACAAAATTTATTAAGATCAGAATACGAATGTATGTATCGCCATGTATGTGAAGATCTCCATTCACTCCTGTTTATGTATCTCCATATATTTTATATATAGGTAAGCATGATTAAAAAAAAAAAGTACTCTAAACTAGCATCAGATTTGTTAAGTGTTTATAAAAAACATAAATAAAACTTTTTGGGAGAAAAAATTGGACTTAAAATTCATCCAGCAAGGCAGATCATTTTAATATATAATAATAAAAAAAAAGTGGCGACAAACTGAATTGAACTAAACAGCCTTAAATGGGGTGTGTTTTTTTTTGTTTTACAACAAATTTTATCTTAAAAAAAAAGAAAAACTCAATTTTGTCATAACATTTTTTTACATAGATCTTTTAAGATTATGTAATTGCTGTTTTTATAGATAGAAAAAAAGAAACTACCTTCTTTCGAATGAATCAAAGCATAACAAAATCGGATAAACTGAAGGCAAGATAATAAATATTTTGAACCCGTAAGGAAATTAAACAAAATGATTTTGTATATATTCCATTAATTTAATTGGAAATATGTATGATCTGGTGAAAGAATCATGTTGACATTTATTTTTTTATTTTATTTTTCCAAACTTGAGAGATAAAAGTAAAAACAATTATTTTTTTTTCTCAATTTTAAATAAAGGCCACTAAATGGCAAAAATCTATTCAAAACATCAGATAAAGAAAACATAAAACTAAATTTTTTAAGCAAATTTGAAGCCAATATTTTCTTACAATCCTTCTCTATAACCATCCAAAAGAGCTTGGCATAGTGATTTGTTTTGAGGAATTGTTTGTAGAATATCACCATCCCCTGTAACATAGCCAATGGCCCATTGACCTAGCCTTGTACAGCTTAACCGGAATACATAGCTAAAACAAATGAAGTGTAAATAAATAATAAAATTCTATAAACACATAAAAAAATAATACTTTCTAGATACAGTCTCCACCACATTCAAGTAATGAATATGAATATTATTTTCATTTCACCACCTTTCAAAAAGCCAAAAAATAGTTTTAGATTTTAATATTAACTTCCACACATTGAATAACTTTTTGAGATTTTTACTTCTTCCCTGGGTCCAAAATATGCTTCTGTAAGATTTTATTTTGCAAAAATGCTTCGGATAAATTAATAAATTTTTTTTTTCACATTCATCACTTAAAAGTGGAGGCGAGGATAAGACTACTATCATATTAATTACTGTTCCTAGGGTAATTCAGTGCCTTAAGGACTACTTTTCTAATGAATTTAATACATTAGTAATGCACTACAAATATTGTTTAAACCTTTTCAGGCCACAGTGTCTAATTGTTTAGATACCACTACTTAGAATTTTTTTTTTTAATTTCTCTTATATTATAGAGTAGTTAATACTTTCATCTGGAGTAGTATAGTCTCCTGTTTTTATATTATATGTATTTTTTATAACTACTATATAATATAAGATAAATTAAAAAAAAAATGAAAATTCAAAGTAATGGTATCCACTTGGACATCGTGGCCTGAAAAGAGCTAAGATGAATTCAGAACACTGAACTTAAAGCATTTAAGGACTAACATTATGGCATTAACACTCAAATAGTGGTATAGCCATGTCTATGAGATTATATTAACAATACATAGATCAGTACACTTTTAACACTCCTGAATAATTTATTCTATTAATAATAAACTAATAATAATGATAATACGATTGACAGAATGGAAAAGCAAATCTCTGCATGAAAGATTCTACAGCAAATTGAATGATAGCTCCATTGATGAGGAAATAACCATTGAATGGCTGAAAGCTGGAAAGATATTCTCCGAGACAGGAGGATTTCTATTCGCCATCTAAGACTAAGTTATTGCTACTAGATCATATAGAAGGCATGTTCTAAAAGACGCAACAACTACAGATAAATGTCGACTATGCTCAGTGACGCTGGAATCAATTCAACATATCACAGGTGGGTGTGGAGTGTAAGCTGGCACTGAGTATCTCCATAACAATGTGGCTAGAATTTTTATCAGACTCTGGCGGTGAAAATCAACTTATTAGATGACAAAACTCCACCACATTATAAGTACCACCCAAATAAACTCCTCCAAAAAAGTAGTCTCAAGCTCTACTGGGATGAATCGATTATAACTGACCATACTGTGCATCACAATAAACCAGATATCCTTCTGATAGATATGAGAGAGAAAAGATCAGAGCTTATTGATGTCGGGATCCCCAAAGATAATAATATAAGCTCCACTGTTGGAGAAAAACTGAGAAAATACCAGGAACTAGAAATCGAATTGAAGGAATTATATCATTTGGGGAACGTCACCACTACTACAATTATAATATCCTCCAATGGATTGATACCGAAGTCAACAGTGGCAGGCACGATGGGATTAAAATTACCTCTTGAAGTGCTGAAAGAGGCTCAACACTCAGTTCTCTTAGACTCGTATTGTTCAAAAATTTTTAAACATCTAAAAAAATAATAAACATTAATATGGAAGTGGCTGGACTTCTGGTCTCCCACCTCAGAAACTTACTTCGCAAAGTGAGAATAAAGAATGGAAATAATAATAATCGTGTTATTTCGTGTTAATCGACAGTAATATGAAGACAGCTGAGATAATAGATATCGCTGTACCAAATGATGGGAACACCAACTCAGTCTGTGCCGAAAAAAATTCGGAAATATCAAACTCTTGCAGCCGAGTTAAAAGATCTGTACAAACTGAACAAAGTGATATTAAGGGCTTTAGTGATCTCTAACAATGGGCTGATTACAAAATCCACTGTGGGAGCTACGGAGAAGTTGGGCCTCTCAACAGCTACGATAAATGAAGCCCAGAACGCTGTGCTGCTGAACACTGCGAGAATCGTAAGGAGCTTCCTAAATATCCAATAAAACTAAAAAAATTGATGTGAAGTAGTTGAAGTTAATTCTTCCCCACTCCAGGAAAATACCTTTTTTAAAGTGATAAAGAATAAAGAATAACAATAATAAATATTAAGTTAGAGGCTGTAAGGAACTATTAGTGATAGACACATTTATTGCCAATCAAGTGAGTAAAAAAAAGAGAAACCTTTCAATGGCATGGATTGACTATAAAAAGGCATTTGTACCACACAGTTGGCTAATTGACGTTCTAGAATTATATAAAATCCACCTAGGCATAATAAATAAACCTCCTAAGAAAGCTTATGACATCATGGAGCACTGGAATGATACTGGGTAAAGGACAAGAAGGTTATAATACTGAAATAATAAAAATTGTGGGGGAATTTATCAGGGAGATTCGCTAAGCCCACTATGGTTTCGCTAAGCCCCATTAAGTCAAATCCTCCGAAACAGCAAGCTTGGATACCAATTAAAAATAGACGACCAGAGATCCACCATAAGAAACCGTTTCTATATGGACGATTTTCAAGTTATATGCAAAACATAGCGACCAGCTACAATGCATGATGGAACTTGAGTCAATGTTGTTACTACAGGAAAAGTTCAGGACAGCAGTTCCTTTCAGTTTCCACCAGGAAAATTTGAGACACCAGCCAGCAGGGGAATTTTATAAATACCTAGGTATTATTAAGCAGGTCAGAGGCGCGGGGTGGCCAAATGGGCTAATGTGTTTGCACAGCACCGCGAGTTGCCCGGCAACCAGATAACCAAGTTTTGAGATTGAAAAAAGTGCGAGTTCGCGCCCCGGTGCCAAAGGGGATTTTAAATTCCCCGCCCTCACCCTCCGGCCTGGGAAAATCCCGTATAGCCTAAACGGCAAGGTAAAGAACAGAAAAGAAAAAAAAAGAAGGTATTAAGCAGGATTTTAAGATAGCCAAGAAAGATGTATTTAGTGAAATAAATAGAAAGTTCAAGATAAGGCTGCTTCAGATTCATGAAAGGTCATCTAAATGGTAAAAACAAAATCCATGTCATTAATACATGGGCGATATCATTGGTAGCATAAAGTTTTAGTGTAATAAAATAGTCAACTACCAAACTTCAAGAAATGAACCATCTGGTGTGTACAATGATGACATACAGCTAAAGAGGACACTACAAGATCATTCGGAACTGCATTCCGAGACACTACTGACGTACCGTATAATTGTGTAATGTAATGAAAGAAGTACTGATGGACGTGTCTGGCGGATTTCTGAAAATCCGGAAATCAAGGTTCATTCACGAGAAGTGGAGGGGAGACTGAGCTAAAAGTAGTGGGGAGACTAACCATACTACTGGATAGGTTAATTTACCTAGGCCTCATAACCATTATAAATTACTGATTTTCATTAAAAATAAATAGTTAAATAAGTTTTTTATATCCCTAGTTTATATTTTAATAAACCATTTTCAACTATTTTTTCTTTAAATAGTCAAATGGGCAATAAATTAAAAAAAAAAAAAAATGAAAACTTCACAATTTAGTCATAGAAAAAAAATCTTTAACTGTTTTATTTGTCATTAATTTTTCTTAACAAATTGATTATTTTTGCAATACTTTTCCTAAATTTTTCTAAGTAGTTGACTTTTTTTTTACTTTCGGTCTAATCTCTTTTCGGGAACTAGGAAATAATTATTATATCTCCATTTTTCTCTTGATGTCCAATAATATAAAGGACAATGTTCATATAAGCTTTTTAAATTAAACACATTATTATAAGTGAACAATCTACCTGCTGCCTGTTATCTCAATGTCGATTGAGCTAAAAAAAATGGAATTACGAGATTTGCATTGTCTGTCATAGACAGGTCAAAAGTTGTCACACTGATTGTAAGTGGAATATCACAATGAGAAAATTTATCAAATTATTCACTAATTTAATTTTCTAAAAGTTTACATGATGATTTTTTGGAATAAACAGACCATAGATTCCTAATTATTTAAACAAAATATCAGATCTAGAGTTATTAAACTACAGTAAATGTACTTAAGGCTGTAAACATATCCATGAAATATTTTTATATTCCACTTCTTCTTTCACACAAATACAATGAAATAGTATTTTAAACAATGTCATTGCCTTGATTCGGTGGATTTAAAATACATTTTTCTAACTTAACCGTTTTTTTTTTAAGTTTACATTTAGTAAGAAAATTTCATTTAATTTTTTTGGAAATATTTGATTTACGTTAAAAAATAATGTTAGTTTTCAGAAATTATTATTTATATTTTTTTCGTCACTCTCCATTACTTTCTACAACTTTATTTATTAGATATTATTTTTTCTAAAATTCTCCACTTTCCAATGTTGCATTATACATACGATATATTATATTTTATATTGTACACCTTCTAGCTATTATTTACAGAGATTCATTTTCGACCTGGATAAGAATTTTTCTTTTTTTCTTCTTTATTCAACAATCAAATTCTTTCAAAAGTTATATTTAGCATTTTTTCGTAACTCCTAACATGGAGAGATAGTTAATACTTTAAAATAAGCCAAATAAAAGGGTTCTATCTAGAGGAACTAATTCTAGAGGAAGGCATATTGAATATTAGGCATTTAACCCCTGTTAAGCTACATCAGTAGGGATTGAATCTAAATAATGTTAAAGATTACTTAATTATACATTGCTACATCAGGTTTAATCAAAATTATTAGAACCGTTTTTGAGAAAATTGTAAAAATTACTAAATCGATGTACCAAGTGGTACTTCCAATTAGCCAATTTTAATCAAAAAGTTGCTGTAAGATCCTATGTCTATACCTGACTTAAATATGTATTTTCAGTTTAGTATGACTTTCCGTTTTTGGGCTAGACTGTTACATACACACACACACTCACTCAGACTTGATTATTTGGACTCAGGGGACCACAAAATGTATTTCTGTTAAAAACTCAGATTAAAAAATGTTCACGATCGCAATACTTTCCCTTATACTATATATTACATATGCAGATAAGCAGGGCAAGGGGTGGTCGAACTGGCTAACTTGTGTGCACAGCACTGCACGTTGCTTGGAAACCTGATAACCAAAGTTTGACAATAAAATTACGAGCTCACGTACCGGTGCCTGGGGGTCTTTTAAATTTCTTGCCCTCACCCCCTGGCCCAGGAAAACCTCCCTACACCTTAAAGGGCGAGATAGGGAAGGAAAAAAAATGTAGGTAAGTGAAAGTAAAAATGTGGACATTTTCTGACTTTTTGTTAGCTTTTTCTTTAATATCTTGGGATTAGTTTTTCACAATTCCCTTTAGCATATCTCTAAATATTCAAAAATTAGTTTGAATCACAACATTCCTTCACCCATGAGAGGAAAAGCGAATGATAAGTAAAAAATTGCCAACCTCATTTTCCTTATGTCCTATCTCAATACAGTTAAAAAATAGTTTAAACCAAGAAAAACCGAACACCTATGTCAGTTATAATATGTCAGTTATATAAAATTTGTTCATAAATATATTAATATAATTTCTTTATTATATTATAATAAAGAAAAAAAGTTGAGTGCACATTTGGCATCTGGTTTGTTTGTTTCTAGCAATATGGTTTGATTGAACTTATCTTTCATCACCCGATACACAACATTGTTTCAGTATTATCTGGTTATCTTAAGTTATTACCTGGCTGTATTTTTGATACTTGGTATTTATCGGTACCTGGTTTTCACAAGTAGTACTAGGCCATATCCAGTAGGCTAATCTAGGTACCTGGTTTTCACAAGTAGTACTAAGCCATATCCAGTAGGCTAATCTATCAAAGGTAATTTTTTTTTGTAAATGTATGCAGAGTTTGAATGACCTTATTACCCAGTACCCGGAGGAGGCCATAATAGCTCATTATTACACAGTAGCCGGCTCCCAATAAAATCTGTTACTCAGGACATCACTACTTATTGCCTCTTTCAGCTGAAGCATTAATTTGATAATAAATGCTCCAGTAGATTTAAACCAGATGAGCAAGACCAAGTATTTCACATGCCCGATACTAGAGAATACCCCAGGCACCCATCCATTTCACTAAAGAGGAATATGTTTGATCTTACCATATAAAAATTGGCATGCAAATTTGTTTGTGTATGTGTGCGCATGATTTTATTTTTTTTTTAAACGAGTATAGGTGGAAATCTATAAAAAGATACGAATAAGCCTGTACCTATCCACATGTGGGATTTGTACCCACTAACAACACCTGTTTCCCGATCTCCACGGGACTACCGTTAGGCAATACTTCATGGCGTCCCACCATCCACCACTCTTGAGAGAGCAGTATCAGTCCAACTAGATTATCAGCTGTTGGTTCTCATCCATTCTGCGCTCTCTTCTATAGGTTTCTACCCTACGCATTCTGCTATACTTTCCATCTTAAGCCTATTTTTATAGGTTATAGGGTAGGTATTTCCATATCCAGTAAAGGAGCTAAGTAAGGCAGTGGTTCACCTGCTTCCTATATACCTAAGATTAGATACAAGAATAAGTCTGTGTGCCCATCTTCCGTTCAATGGTATATCCCAGCGTCTTTGCCATTTGTCAATCGTCTCTTTTCTTTCTTCGCTCCTGGGAATATGATCGATTCTCTATTGTAGTAGCGCATTATCTCTTCTACAATCAGTTCTATTGTTGGCAACCTGGCCACCACACATACCGCTTAATATTAAATTGTGCGGAATGCAGATATCACCCTTAAAGCGCTTCGACGGTAGACAGATACCATTGGTCTTCTATAAGCCATAGTATCGAGGGCTCCTCTCTATATAGCAAATGTGTAGAGTAGTATAGATGTCACAACACTTGATACCAACAATCGGCGTCTGTGCCTGGGTCCTCCAACATTTGCCTTCAGTCGAGACAGAGCTGTGGTCATTCTAGACTCCTTTTGTTGCACGCACACACCATTTTGCGGGATTTCGTTATTTGGTCTTAGGGGACCTCAAAACATGTATTTCCGTTGAAAACTGAAATTCGAAAATTTTCACAATCACAATATTTTCCATTACTATATATTTCATACATAGGTAAGTGAAAGTAAAAATAATGTGCACACATACAAAAATTTGCATGCCAATCTTTATATGATAATATCAAAAATATTCCTCTTCGGTGAAATGCATAGGTGCCTGGGGTATTCTCTGCTATCAGGCATTTGTAAATACTTGGTCTTGATCATCTGGTTTAAATCTACTAGAGCATTTATTATCAAATTAATGCTTAATCTGAAAGAAGACAATAAGTAGTGATGTACCGATTAACAGATTTTATTGGGAGTCGGCTACAGTGTAATGATGAGATATTATGGTCTCCTCTGGGTAATAAGGTCATCACTCAAACTCTGGGTACCATTTAAGAAAAAAATTACCTTTGAAAAGATTAGCCAACCGGATATGGCCTAGTACTACTTGTGAAAACCAGGTACCGGATAAATGCCAAGTACCAAAAATACAGCCAGGTAATAACTAAGATTAACCAGATACCACTGAAACTCTGTTGTGTATCGGGTACTGGAAGATTAGTTCAATCAAACCATATTGCTGGAAACAAACCAGATACGAAATATGCACTGGGTAGCAAATAGTATAGTAAGTATCAACAAATATAAATATAAAAATATGGGTGCCTGACACAATACTAACAATAAACTTTTCTCTTACTATAAGTTCATAGCAAATTTTAAAAAAAATATTTTCTTTCCTTTGTTTACTTTCTTCATAAAAAGATTAATCCACAATTCTGAAGAAAAATCAACATTGATGGAAGTGTACTGAATAATCTTATTTTAATTACAAAAAGAAATCTTTAGGCTAAAACAAATAGTTTCTACAGGTCATATCCTTATCAGAAATAAATCATAATTGCGAGAATAAAATATTAAAATTATACAAATTTAATTTATTTACTTAGTTTATATAAATTAAATATTTACCTGCCAGGTTTGTTAATATATTTATGTAACCGAGCTTTTACTTCGTCATAAGTTAAAAATGCTACATAACCAGGATGAGTAACAGCAAGAATTTGCCAGTTCCTTAAAAGTGAACTCCATGGTTGGAACAATCTGAAAAAAAAATGTTCACATTAGAAAGTAGCTTAATTGATTATTATCTCATAAAGTGGTCTCAATTTATTAATATAAACTAATTAATTAGCATATATTATTTTAACTTAAACTTCTTAGCACCACAGGTAACTATTTTATGTTGTAACTTCTTTTCAATAATTAGTAGGCATCATATAAGCCCCGATACATTAAATAGAATTTAGTAAGTAATGCTCATTAGCACATGTTTTTACATTTTCTACACTTTTCATATCTCATTTCAAAGTGAAATTTGGTCATACGTTTTTGAACTTTTTTCCCCAAGGATTCCTTGAAAATGACTTGAAAAAGAAAATATTTTTACATTGTCGTAAATAACAAGCTAATTCCAAATTAAGCTAAAATATGTAAAAATGTAGTAAACAGTTTAATTAATAGTTCAAAGTAAAAGAAAATAACTCACATAATTAAAATACTTTGTTATATTAATTATATCATTGATATTTTATTTTATAAGATTTTAAAGATAAAAAAATTCAAAGGTAAACTTTCTAGTCTTATAATTTTAAAGTAAATATAAAAAAAGTAAAAAACATCTATTTAAAATCTATAGAACAAATAAATACTACATAAAATAAAAATCAATTCTTTATGGAACAATAGACCAAAAAAATCTATGACATAATTAATAATAATATTCAATAGAGTTCTCCTACTTGTCTAAAATTATATCTAAACATTTTAATCAAAATATAGGTTTATTTACCTGGTAAAAACATCAAATTCAAAATTCGATATGTAATCATTACATGTAAGGTCAATAGTAGACTTCAGAGCCATAGCTTCTAATCCAGATGTAATAGGATGAACTTCATTTAAAACTTGACGAAAAACTTTCCAAGGAACCAGAGTGCTGAAAAATTTAGGAAATGTAGGAAAAACTAAAAAAAAAATTACATAATTTTATTTCTAAAATAAAAAATAATACTAGAAGAAGAAAAATAAATTTTATTTTTTTAAAATAAAATAAGTAGTGCCATTGGAATACGGGATAGAGCCACTTCAACTCGGCATAACAACTGGAGACACCGGAGAGCCTGGGGACTCCAAAAATAAATCTGATGAAACAATTCATTAGCCCCTTTAATCTGATCTTGAGCCCATCAGACAATTCACCGTATACAAGGCAGACATTATCCAAATGAGGGAAAATGAGTGAGGAAACTAGGAGCTGACGGATTTTAAGGGCATGGAATCTTAGAAACTGTTTGAGGGTAGCAATGGATTTTCAGATTATTTAGGAAATATCATAAATTCCAGGACAGATATTGATTAAACATTACACCAAGGTTTCTAAAAGAAGTGTGGAAACGGATAGGTAGGCCATTGAGGTAGAGTAGGGGATAATAAGGAATTGAATTAATCAGATGCTCGGAACCAATGAGAATGGCTTGGGTCTTCTCAACATTCAACTTTAAATCGTTGCTCACTGCCCAAGTAGTGATACTATCAATGTCTTCTTGAAGCCTTTGGATTGCCTTGAGCATCTTGGTAGGATGAAATGAAAAGTAGATTTGGAGGTCGTCAGCATATAAGTGATATTGTGAATGATGGATGGAATCAGGAAGGTTGTTGATGCAGATGGAGAAAAGAGTTGGAAAGAGCGAAGATCCCTGAGGAACACTGCAGGTTACTAAGAGGGGGCAGGAAGGAGTTTTATTAGGTATGATGACTGTTTGGGATCTTTTATACTAGAAGGAATGGAACAACTTTAGGACGCTATTGATATGGAAAGGTTTTGGAGTTTGGAAAAGGATGATTTCATGATTGACTGAATCGAAAGCTTTTGAGAAATCAAAGAGGAGCAGGATAGTGATTTTCTGTTTGTCTTTGGAGAAATGAAGGTCTTGGGTAATTTCTAACAAAGCAGACTGTGTGATGAAGTGGGAGAACTAGTAAAATATAAGTAGTTGGCCCGAATGAATAATTTGAGAGGTTCATGAGTATATTGCTTAGTCAGTGAGTGGTAACATAATGTGAAAAAAGTCAATGTATGTATCCATAAATAACATGTTTTTTATTTGGAAAACTAATAATTAATTTCAGTCTCAAGGTAAAAAGTAGTAATCATTATGTACATCTTTCACAGTAAAAAATTGAAAAGCAGCTATAGATTTTGTTAGGTATCAATTTTTCTTTTCCTTTTAAACATATTTACTTTATAAAACGTCTTTGAACATAATTTTAAGTAAAAATGCAACCATTTTTTACTTTTTGCTAATATGTTATCTCAATCCTTTACAGACCGTTGTTTCCAAATGAGAACAAATGTTCAGGAAATTTTTTAAAAAATTTTATCCAAAAATAACATCGTTAAATGACCTCTCGGGAACAATGCTGAAAAAGGTAATGGAAGGAGAAGTAACATGTGAATTGAAACAGTCATGTATGGATGAGAGACCTTTTGTATATTTATTTTATTTTTATCTTAAATAATGTCGCAGAAGAGATACCAATATTTCTTACCCAGGGTATTTTTCTTTCTTATATCAGACATGCCATTATTATTTTACAACTGATTTCAACACCTAATGCCCTGATTGTAAATGTTAAATTTAACCGGTGTAGATACATAAATGAAGTTAAAGAAAAAAAGGAATCTGAAGGGTTTACCTAAGCTAAGTTTGTGAAGTAGTAGCTACTTAGATTTGGAACCAGAAGCTGAAAAGAAGATTTCAAAAGGATGAACAGTAGCTCTGACTAGAGCTTCATTGAGGTCTCCCAGTGGATCTTAGACTAAGGATGGGATATTGATACCATTATCAGCCTGTAACTGTCAATACCATCAAAATATCGGACTTAATCAAAATATGAAAATCATTATAAATATTGATTGTCTAGCACATAGGCGCATAAAAAAAATGCTGCAAATTTTTCCACAATGGTTCATTATTTCCAAACAATTATGCATCTAAAGTAACATTAGCTTCCTATTTACAAAGAAAATAAATAAAAGGGGATTCCAATTATTGGACTAAACTTTTTTATTTTAATCATTAGTAATATGCTAAACAAAAAAGAATTACTTCAGTAACACATTCAAAATTTAAAAACCAAACAAAGGATATAATATTTGAAGTAGAACATATAAAAAATAAAAATAAAACCAGAGACCATATATTTGCAACTAATTGTCCGATATTAACGATTTTTTTTTTTCTTTTGGTTTTCCGGAAATTTCGTAAACTTTAAAAAGCCATATACACTATCTACAAAAAAAAGTGTAAACTTTGTGAGTTATTCTTAATTTAATTTTACAATTCCTCGTAACTTTTTGTCCAGCTTCTTTTCGTTGAAGTATGTTATATAGATAAATTTAAAGGGCTTAGAGAAAATGACTTTAGCGAAGTTTCATTGAAATCGGTACATTCGTTTAGGCGCTACAGTCTATAGCAATGCAGGTTTTTCGGCCGCCATTTTGAAAGTAAAAGGTGGATAATAATGTCGATGAAGGAGGATCATCCTCGGGCGACCTCTGATTTTATATCCAAATTAGAATAAAATCGGTCCAGTAGTTTTGGAGAAAATGCACGGACGGCGGACGGCGTCCGGACAACAAAATTTTTATTCGTTTTTCGAATTCTACGCATCCTGAATGGTGAAACCTCAAATTTTGAGAGGGAGTTGAGTTTTTGAATTTTTTGGTCGATCACAATGGTTGATTATTGAAAATAAAATAAAAAAAAAATAATTCATGGAAATATCAACTCTTCTACTCTTCTTAATAAAATTAATTTTCTAGTTCCTGTCCATCTTCGTCATCCTCAGATTTTTTGCAGAAATTCACATTCAACCAATTATGCCTTCCATTGGCCCAAAGATCGGATTCAGCGAAACACTAATTTATTTCCATTCTACATAGATTTCTTTGACAATTCGTGACCTTGGTTTGAGAAGGTTTTAACTAACAAATTAAGGCAAATTGATTTTACTGACAAACAGAGGATAACAGTCAGTCGGTCACCGATTTCAACCAATTTTTTTTTTTGTGATACTACATAGAAAAATATTAGACACATATCCCATCGTTCTTTCCAATGGTCCCTAGGAGATGGAAAAAAATAGATGTTATATAATTTCAAACAAAATTTATGTTATTTATTTTTGCTTTTGCTTTGACCGGATTTTTAGGTCACCATATATCAATCATTTTGCGGATAATAATGTCGATGAAGGAGGATCATCGTCGGGTGACCTATGATTATAAATCCAAATTTGGAAAAAAATCGGTCCAGTAATTTCGGAGAAAATGCGCGGACGGCGGACGTATCCTGAAAAGTAAAACTTCAAATTTTGAGGTGTTTAAGTTTTTGAATTTTTGTTCGATTACAATAATTCATTATTGAAAATAATAAACCAAAATACAACCTTTATACTTAATTTTCTTGATTGAGTTTTTTTTCGGGGCATCAAATAAAGCATTCATTACTCTTCAGGATTTTTTTTCAAATTTAACTTAAATATAACCGTTTGAAAGCTGAATTACTGCTCTTCCAACTGACACCAGTAACTTTTGGATTTAATTTTTTTTTCTAGTTATAAATTAGCAAAAACTTCTAACCTATTTTTATTTTATATCTTTAGTTATAATCTGTTTACAAAGGTCGAGTTTATACAATTTCGAGTAGCAGACGAAAGGCCTAAATCCCTACAAATTTTCGTGTGGATCATAAAAGCTGCTCTAGTTATCATAAGTTGTGTGGTTGTTGAAGAACTTTCAAAGGGTCCATCCAGCCTAGACAAAAATTTCGTGAAGAGAATTTTAATTTTTCGATTGCTATAAAAATTCGTACTTAACCGTTTTTCGAGATGCGAAAAACGAATATGAAGTTTAGAGATGGGCAAAAAGTCGACTGATCAATTATATAGATGGAACAAAATTTGTTGATCTTTCAGTCAAGACATTTTTACTTTCAGTTACCTATTCAATTTTTCCTCACTATACCTAAATGACCAACCCATTCCCTTCTACTCCTCTGTCAAAAACTTAGGCTTCTTCATTGATCAAACCCTATCCTCATATCCCACATCGGTCAGCGATCAATTTCCACTCCCAAATTATTCCATCGCTTCCACCATCACCTACCCGAACCTATTCGTAGATTCTTAGTTTCTTGCCATATCTTTCTCCAATATGGCGGTGTGATGTACAGGGTTCTCTCGGTCGATCTCGGTGACAGATTAAAGAGACTTATGAATAGATTAGTCGGATTTGTCAGTGGGACCCCGAGACGTACCTGTGTCTCCCACCACTACAATAAGTTTAGGGTGGCTCTTCCCTTCCTTACGTAGGCAATACTGCCTAGATACATTCTTTAATCAGATTATCAACAGCCGTCGCCCTTCCTATGCCTATAATCTTCTCCAATTCAAATCCTCCGTACACTCCCTAATCACAAGATCCCGACCTTTAAACCCCTTTTCACAGATCTGCCTCTTTCCCAAATGCCTTTGTTGCCCGCTCCGCTACATTTTGAAATTCCCTCCATTTAAAAATCATGCCACCTCCTTAGCCATCTTCAAAACTTTCCTATTCCAATTTCTGTTGACGGAACAAACTCTAATAGTTTTAATTTAGTAATTCGTATTTATTTTTTTGTAATTATTAATTTTTCAGAAGTGTACAAATTTTAAGGTAGTTTTAGGTGTTTTCTTTCTTTCTTTTTTCTATACAATTGCGTTTTTATGTATTCAGAACTTCTGCGTTCCGAGATATATTAAAAAAACTGCGAAATTTTCGCCTTTTTTTTTAGGACATGACTCCGAAACTATGCATTTTATTAATATTACTATTCTTTACAAAGTTAAAGATGATAAAATCTTTCAACGATTTTAAATATGGCTTTTTATCTA